CTTAAATGAAATTGACGATGCAAAATATGGAAAAGAAAATATATTTTTATTGCTAAAACCGTAAGATAGGAAAATCGAATTTGTATTATGAGAATCAGTAGTGGAAAAAATAAATTGTCTTCATTAAGAACTGACACAGTAAATCACGTTTATTATTTGGTTAAAATTCAACGTGAAAATCAGTGATGAACAAATGCATCACGTTTCTTAATTAAAACGTACGATAGAAAGCTGAATACGTGCATTTTGACATACAGGAAGAAGGTTCCAGTTACTTCTATTTTAATTTTAGATTAATCTCGCGCGAGTTACGGTACCAGTCGAGGTATAAAATAATTTGAGAGAGAACAGTAGTAGCGAGGTCGAGAATAGACGCGTTGGATGAAAGAATACTTGCTGAAGCAGATACGAACGAATGCCTCGGAGTCATGCAACAATAATTAGGTATTTAGCACAGTCTAGAATTGCAAAGCCCGGCTGGAATTCCTCCTCCATGCTCCTTGAATACTAACGTATGAAACGAATTTTACAAATTCAATATTTGTATGAATCTTTGATTTTAAAATGCAATTTAATATCGTAATTAATTTATTATAATTCGGACACGATGTGATTTCATAAATTGGCGCTGATATTAATGTAACGAAATTAATTAATATATTATCTTGTGTTATTATTGTTTGATTACACTGCAGCGTGGAGTATGAATATGATTTCGTGGTACGAAGACCGGATATTTAGCGAAGCGAAGAGGCGAAAATAATGTTCCGGCATACGAGGCAGGACACAGCGCGGAAATTGTGATTTACTTTCCCTCGGAATAGCGAACGCTACCATCCTGCTCTCTGCATGGTCAGATTCTCTGTCCCAGGCATTATGCGTTGCGCTGCGTCGCATTTACATATTTCCTTGTATGCATAATGCGAGCCCACCCTGTTTTTCGCGCAGCAGATTTATTATTAATCTCATTTGTGTACATTAGCAAAAAATTGTTTTTCTTATTTATAACATGCTTCAGTGTGCCGTAAAACATATTTAAGGATACTAATTTTGTTAGGGTACAGCATAATTGCGTTGGAGTACAGTACTTTAATCAGAGGATGTTTTAATGAAATGCTGTAAAGTCGAATGGAGAACAGTATTTTCATAAAGAAAAATTGAAGAATTAAGAGAGAAGCATTTTTGTTAGTTTTTTAAATTTTATTTCTTTACTGTTTTAGGTGTTATGGCATCTGGATATTTTTCGGCGGAGCTTCAGGGAGCTCTCCGGTCACGCGTGTATGCGGGAGTCCTGCATCTTCTGCGCTCTCAAGGTAAGCTTCATCTCGTTATATACTGGAGTTACCTGTTGCCGCTAGCGAAAAATGTTTCCGACAAAAGTCGACTCCTATAATTTCCTGACTCAACATACTCGCTATGTTAATCGATTACTCCTGAAGTATACGGGATAGAAGAAAATTGTATACGACCTTTCTTGTAAGTAATACCAGTACCTACAACTTTTATTGGAAACATTTTTGGAAATTTTGAAAAAATATATTTTGCGCTCATCTTCGTACAAAATTAAGAAGTGTGAGAACAGGAATGATTGCATAAATTAAACGATTTGCATTTGATTGTCAATTATATTTAAAATCGGCCGAGCAAAAGGCCAAGCCCTGGGCAGATCAGAGTTTCATTACAAACCGCCTTGACATCTTTACGTATCGATGAGTTGCAACCAGCGCGGCGCGAGGCTTGATTTCTCGCATGCACGCTAGTCCGACGTGTCGCATCGACCGATTTTAATCGTGCGATTCTACCAGCTCCCACGACGATAATGGAAACGTCGGTGGAAGCGGAACGGACAAGTTCCGAGGTAAAAGTGCGCGGCTTAAGAGAAAGAAGCTCTATCTTTCTCAAGAAGGAGCTTAAGACAAAATAGGATTGCCTTACGGTCGGCGCAGCGTGTCCACTTCATGTTACAGCGCCAATCTCCCGTGGGTAATCTAATCTTCAGGGAAAAGACATGCCCTGTGAAATTCCCACTCTATTTTCTAAAAAGCTTCAACAGTTAATCCTACGAAATCATAGTAGCAATTAAGATTCATTATCCGCATTAATTTATTAAATAATTTCTTTCTTTCAAAAATAACTAAGTATGCGTTCATAAATGCTTTTTTTTTCGAACGATCTGAGTAAATTATACTAAATATTCCCGGTACAAGTAATTCAACTATCGTCACAATGGAAAGATTTAAAATGCGATGTGGCGATCGGTGGGGGCCCCGCACCTTTCTCCTCGAAGAAACACGTTCCTCAAGTGTCCCGCGATTGGCCGAGGGAACGGAAAGTGCCCCTCCACGCTCTCGGGTTCATTGTAGTAAACTTACAGCGAGTAAGACTTCTTGGAAACCCGCGTCCGATGCAAGGAACGAAACGCGTCGCCGCGTCGTAGAGACCGACGAGAATAAGCGTCGGATCCTCCCAACTGTTCTCACGGGGTTAATTAGCAATCTGGAGAGTTAATTGCCGCTGGCAAAGGGGTTTGCGTTAGCGAGGTTCGCAGGAGAACGTTGCCAGCGCTATTTTCGCGCGCTTCTATCTTTGTTGCACTTTTTGTCCCGGACCGATACGCGGGATTTTCGGTGGGACCTGCCCTGAGGGTCTCGATGAAACCCGGCTCTGATGTATGCGACGAGTTTTGTTCCTTTTTCCTGGGTTAAAGATGGATCAGGGGATTAGCGAGTTGGAGAACAGGAATAGCCAATTGGGAGTTGATAATTGGGTTCGAAGAACGTGGAACTGACAGTCGAGAGATTGAAGAATTTGATGAAGTGTGAAATTGAAATTCGCGATTTCACTTCGTTCGTTCTTTAAATGAACGAAGTGCGTTACACTGAGAAAATTGAAAAGATTTAGATCTCGTCACGTTTTGGTGTGCAGTCATCAAACGTGAAGGGTGAGGAGAAGATCCTAGCATACCAGCGGAAGGGTACGTGTGCTACAAGAATTCGGGCTGAGATGACTCGCGGTGATTCACCAGAAACGTATTCGAAGGGTCGATACCTTCGGCCTTCAGGGTTAAAACCCTTTCTTATTGCACCTCCTCCGACTTTACGACTTCGGAGACTCGCCCCATTCAAGTGCCAAGCGTTCTCATTGCAAATAGGCAATCTTCTTTATTTTCTCAGAAACGGTTTACGTCATCTTAAATGTTTAACCAGTAATTTTGATGAATTCAAAAGACAAGATATTATGAATGCATAAAATCATGTCATGTAAATCGTCAGAGAATCCGTTAAATCGTACCATAGAGTTTTCATACACATTGTGCCTAGTGTAATGGAGGACGAAAATAATGGTCAGCCATTCTGGCAATTAAGGAACATTATCAGTGAGATTCGTCGCGAGTGTCGAGCTGATGAACAGTTATGTTATTCCGCTAGACTCCGGCACCTCGGTGGGTTCGCCTCACGGAATACGTTCTCGTTTTGCTCGCTGCCAAGATCTGCGGCAACACGGTTGCGGTCGTATTGGTTACGAGCGTTCGTTTCCGGGCGTCTCGAATGGTTTCTCTTGAACTTGCACCTCACTGCGCCTGTAGAAAACCTTTTCGCGCTCAGAAACTCGTAACTTTCGTTCCTCTCGTTCCTCATTGCCTGAACTAAATTCTTCAAAGAAACGGAATTCCTTTTTACTCCGCTGTCTAACTGTTCTTCAAGTTTTTGCAAATAAAGCATACAACAGAAAGAGTTTAACTAATTTTGCAAGAAATTTCACGGTCCCCATATTTTTATTTAACTAGAGAATGAAAATGATTAAATGCATTATAAGATCGAGTAATATAATTATTATTATGCAACAAGTATTGGGACTGCACTGTTATAATTAATCTTTACGCCTTTGCACAGCAAATAAGCTAGCTCGTTACGATATTCATAAGCTCGTAATTTACAATGAATCGCTCCTTATCCAGTCCCATTCACTTCTCGTTATTATTTAACAACGTGGGCGCTGTCTACGCGTAAGTCAAGCAGCCGGTAGGAAACGCGTAGGCTTTGTAGTATTTCCTTCTTCCTAAATAAAGAAAGCATAACTAATGTAAGTGAAGTCACCGCACGAAACGGCCCTCGCGTCAATGTTTCAAATGCAATCGTGTCCTCCTACGATTTCACCTCGCCTTGCGCCTGTCGGTTTTAGGAAATTTTTACTCTACTCATAATAGTCGCTCCATTTTATTCATCGATTGTTTCGATGAAAATTATGGTATGTGTGAAGGGTTCCTCTATTTCATTCAATTAATAAAATGATTTTTCTTTATGAACCTAAGAAATAATAATGTAAATTGTTTTTTGGAATACGGAGATTTATGAGTCTGTGAATGAGTGTTGGGCCTCAGTCAACGTGCAACGCGATTTGTCCACGTATATTAAAGCGCGTAGCCTCGGCCACTTTTTCCGTCCACTACTACTTTTCGTGTTCGGGGTCCTCTCTCTTTTGTGTTCGTGAAACAGGACCCAATCGTATCCCGTACACTTCGGATATCTGTACACTCAACCTCATAAGTATAGAAGCTTTACTAGAATATTAATTCTTGGCAATGAT